CACACCTGTAATTTCAGTACTTGGGAGGCTGGGATAGGAGAACGCCACAAGTTTGAGGCCTAGGCTACACAGTGAGTTCCAAGCCAGCCTGCACTACACAGTGAGACCCTCAAAAACCCCAAGCGCTGGGATCACAGGTGTGCACAGCCACACCTAGCTGTTCGTTAAATCACATGGACCGCCTGTGTGGCTCTGTATCTCTCTCTACGCCTGTCCCCAGGCCTGTTATACTTGTACCTATACATTAATTCTTCTACTTTATTCTCTTTTCAAAAAATGGGTTTTAACCTGTCTAGTTCCTTTGTTTTTCCATATAACCTTTCAGATAAACTTGCCTATAGCTACAAAAAAAATCTATGGAATTTTGATAGGAATTATATTAAGTCTGTATATCAGTTTGGGGTCAATTGTCAGCTTCACTATGTCAAGTTTTCTAATCTTTGAACCCAGTATGTCTCTCCATCTGGGGGCCTGCCCCTTAGCTCAGTTCTTTAACTGGCTGCTTCAACAAAGCAGTCAGGCTCAGGTTGCTGTGGTTCGATCCCCACAACCCAAGACAGCCAGTCATGCCTTGAAGGCATTCGGACCAAAAAAAAAAAAAAAAACAATTCTGTCTCTCCATCTATTTAGATTTTTCACCAGTCAAGTCCTGTACATGTTTCATTAGATTTACAACTATTTCTCCCCCCTTTCTTTCCCTCCTCTTTCTCTCTGTCTCTCTGGGCAATTTTAAGTGGGCATTGATTTTGATTATAGTTTTTTTTGAGATGGGGATCTCACTGCATTGCCCATGCTGGCCTTGAACTTGCTATCCTCCTGCCTCAGCTTCCTTTGAGGCTGGGATTACAGAATGTGCTACCACAGCTGACTTCATGTTGCTAGTAATTTTTGTCACAGAAGATGACATGTCTGTTGGTTGCTAAATTCTATGCAGGGAGTATTTGTGGAAGGCTGGGAATATAGCTCAGTGGTAGAAAACTTGCTTAGCGTGTGTGAGGGCCTGGGATCAATCCTAGGACACATAAATATATTAAATACTTTATTTATTTTTTCTTTTTTTCCCCCCTTGGGATTGAGCTCTGAGTTGAGGGTTTTTTTTTCCCCCTATTAAATACTTTAAAGTTTAAAGCTATTTTTAGATGTGGCCTTTTATGAGTAAAATTAGAAAACTCCTTTCCAAGTGTTTCCTACCTATGCTTTTGGAAGAGATGCCCTCCTGAGTGCATGTTTGGCAGGGGTAACTGTCTAGACTCAACAGAGCAACCTCGGCCAAGTCTGACCAGTGTCTGCTTCTTGCGTGTCCACCTGTGCCACAGTTCACCCTGTCCCGATGCATGGACGCCGTGCTGGTGCTGGGGAACGCCCACCTGTTCATGAACCGCTGCAACCAGCTGGCTGTGATCGCCAGCCACATTCATGAGAGGTAGGGCACGATGGTCGCCTATGGGCTCTGCTGCTCCTGCTCATGGTGCCCAAAAAGCCTTTTCTGCCTCTGCGAGTGGCAGCCCTGAGACCTGCAGCTCGGGTCACCTGGCCTGGGTCTGCATGGGTCTCAAGTGCCACTGTGGCATCACTCTGTGATTCTGCTGCAGA